GTCGCGAATGCGACCTGGAATAAGGGTAGCCATGTCGGTATCAGAGTCTTTCGTATCACCGTGCGTGGAGGGCGGGAGGGACTCTTCAGGTCGCGTGCTCGAGATTCTTCCCTGAAGATGTATGGCACCAATGAAAGCCACGGGCCGAACCACGGGCCTTGGACACCGCCCCCTGCGCCCCAACCGCTCCCGCCGCAAGCCCAACATCAAAACCATCCCCGACCTCACCCCCACAATCATCCGAGCCACCCGCCGTACGTACCGCCGCCGTATCAGCATCCTCATCACCACTTGCCGCACGAGGTAATTATTGACGATATTCCAGCCTGTGCTTCGACCTATGTGCTATCTTCCCTACAACTCCAAGAATCTTTCGAAAACTCGCTAGATCGACCGACCTATCCCCTACCCCTCTGCGTCTCTCCTCCTCCTTCTTCTCCTCTGTCACCTTCGCGTCGCTTCGTTGCTTCGATGCTTGTGTACGTAAGGAACGTGTGTATATACGGAGGAGAGAAGAAAATTCGTAGGGAAAAGAAAAGAGTCGCGAATTCCATTCGACTCGAGAAAGCGATTTTGTCGCGAGGCGATAAATACGGACGAATGTATTACGAGCGGGGCGGTCCAACTGGATCGCGATGGATCTAGGCGAAGCGAAGGAACCGTTGGTGAACCGTTTAAGGATATACGGACGGAGTAGAAAGTGACCGAGGAGGTGAAGTATGTAAAGCCGTCTGTCGTTGCCCTCTTATTGGGCTAATCGAGCGCCGTTTCATCGAGGATTAGAGAGATTGTTACTCCGCGCGGCTTACACGGCAAGGCGTACGCGTGATTAATATCGCGAGGGAAACCTACAACGATGACTTTAACTGCCTATGGTACAAGTTCGCTTCCCACCACCACCACCACCACCACCACCACCACCATTGCACCATCGGTCTCTACGATCACTAGCCGTGGAATATACCTGGTTATATAGTATATAAGCGGGTACAAGTATGGACGATTATTATAACGTAGCCGGTCTAAGGTTCCCTACGTGCTATTTTGACACCAACTCGGGTTAAATCTGGTAACGCGGAGTGGAAAGTGGAGAGTTTCTCTTCTCCCGCGATCTTCGATAATTTTCAATTCCGACAACCCTTCCTTTCGCAAAAAAAAAAAAAAAAGAAAAGAAAAGAAATTCGAAGAATATTCGGCAATTTATATCGGTCGAGTCGAAAGCAAAAAACAGGAGGTTCTCTTCGACGTGCGCACGTCTCGTGGAACACGTTTCGCGAAATCGTTAAAAATCTGTATACCGAACGCACGCGTTCTCCCTCTCTCTCTTTCTCTCTCGCTATCTCTCCAAAGACTACGTATCGAAGGTAGAATTCACCTCAAGGCCACCTCTCGCGCACCGATCGCTTTATCGAGGGGGGAGGGGGAATCTGCGCAAAATCGGGGCAAGATCTTTACGGATTATGGACAGGTCCTTCGCCTTTTTTTTCACCAAAAAAAAAAGAAAAAAAAAAAATCAGGATCGTGTTTGGAAAAGGAAACGCGTTAATCATTCGATACATGCGTACACGCATAGGGATCGAGAAATGAGAGAAAAAGGAATGGAGAAAAAAAGGAGGAGAAAGAAGACGAGAGGAGGAGGATCCGGCAGACAGGTTAGGCTACAACCGGAAGCGCGAGGAACACGAGGTAGCGGATCATGGTGGCGCGATTCAGACGGATTAAAAGCGGCGATTATAGAGCGAGAAAGAAAGAAAGAGAGAGAGAGAGAGAGGGAGGGGAGAGGGGGAGAGAAAGAGGCGGAGAAGGTCCACCTTTTCCTTTATATTACGGCACTATTCGCGGCCGCAGTTTAGACAGATAGGTGGGTAGGTAGGAGAATGAGTCAGGCAACGCTAGGTAGGTTAGATTGGACGTTGTCTCCGCGTGCACGCACACGTATACGCGCGAGGCCCGTTGCATACATAGGGAGAGAGAGAGAGAGAGAGGGAGAGAGAGAGAGAGAGAGAGGCGGAAAGGTGCGCGCGCGAGTACAGAGAGGCACACATACCTCCGAGTTAATAGCACATGCGAAGTGCTAGATGGCCGGCGTGCGTGGGTGGACGGAACACGTTACCTACGTATGTGTGCCACGGAGAAAAGGCATATGGTCAGCAGGTGAGACCTTTGCTTTGTGTTCCAAGTGTATAAAGTAGCCTACTTCCAGTGACCAATGTTATTCGGCCGTAATTTACCGAGGGAAGGAGAGAGAGAGAGAGAGAAAGAGAGAGAGACAAAGGGTTGCATCGTCCGGATCCTTTTGGCAATCTCCCTTTCGAAAAAAACGGACAAACTTTCCGTCTGGCGAACGCCGACTCCGAGTCGAACCGATCCCTTTCCTTCGTAAGCTTTGCCGATCTTCCGTACCAAAAGTAAAGGAAAAAAAGGAGAGAAGAGGAAGAGGGAGAGAGAGAGAGATAGGGGGGAAAGGGCGAAATCGAGATGAGGGATGCCTTTTAGGAAATATAGCGGATGATATATTTTTCCATTATTAAGGACATTAAGCCGGCGGCCCGCAACCAGCCAACTCTCTTTCCGCTTTCTTCTTTCTCCTTTCTCCTTCCTCCTCGCTCTTCTTTCTTTCTTTCTTTCTTTCTTTCTTTCTTTCTCGCGTTTCTCCTCTTTTTTTTCTTTCCCTCTCTTTCTTCCTTTCCCCCCGCAGACGACGACAACGATAAATCAGAAAAAAAAGAAAAAAGGATTGAAGAAGCGGCGGTACGGGCCGGGCGACGGAACGCAATTTTCCGTCTGCCACCAGATAAAAATGTGATTAATGAACGTATGGGTAACGTTCGAGTTTCGAGAAAAACCGTGCGGAACCGTTGTACCGAGTCGCCGCGCGTCTCTTAATTAGCATTTGCTTAAAAATCGGTGGAAGAAAGGGAAGCAGAGAGAGAGAGAAAGAGAGAGAGAGAGAGAGAGAGAAGAGATTAATGTCTCGAAAACGGAGACAACGTTCTCTACGACTTTCTCGAAAATCTCGCCGGTCCACTTGAGACGATCGTTAAAAATTCGCAACTCGACTTCGCCGCTGTCGAAAGCTCGTGCTCTCGCCCTCTTTCTCACCCTCTTCGCAACCCTTGGTCAATCGTTGGGTTGGGAAAAACGGTGACTCGCGCGTCGAGTCCGCACCGCATAGCCGCGATCTCCTCTCCTTGCGTCGCGAAACGATGCGATAGGGAAAATAAAAAAACGGAGACGAAGAGGGAGGGAGAAAGGATTTCGAGCAGAATCCCGAAACATCAAAAACGAGATATTCCCTTCCCTGTGACGCGCGAAACACGTGCCGATTTATTATTGAAATCGACGAGAAACGGTCTCGAGTTTCTCGGATTGATTCGTCTCTCCTTCGAAAGGAAGAAGTATCGAGGAGAGAGGGAAAAAAAAGATGGAATAAAATCGAGTTGCAGCCTCTCCCTCTCTCACGGGGATTAAGAATCAGGGATGCCCAGTGTCGAAGGTCGGCCGTCAAATATCCAGCGTCGCGTCCTCCGCTCCCGCGAAGAAAGGGTTGAAAGTCGCAGAAACTTGAGAACCCTCGGTTGGTGACAATTTCAATTCTCTCCTCGCCTTTTCCCTCTATCTCGTTCTTCGCCTCTCTCTCTCTCTCTCCACCCTGTCGTCATGGTCTCTCTCTCTCTCTCTCTCTCTCTCTCTCTCTGTCTTTGTCGCAAAGGGTGGCCTAAGATTCTTAAAACTTCTCGCGAGATTTTTCGATTTTAATTACACAGTTTTAACATATTTTAATAAAATCCTTCGGCCCCCCTTCCCATCCACCCCCCCCCCGTGTTTCCACCCCGGTTGCCGATGGTGGGCCGGCAAGGTTTTCCCTTCTTTTAATTCCCGCCACCTCTTCCCCCTTCCCCCTTCCCCCACCTCCTCTCCTCGACACTCTTTTCGAAATCTCTCGACTTTTGCCACCAACTGTACCCTCGGCTGTTCCACCGTTAACCCTTTGGTTCGTTCACCTACACCCACACCGGGGACGAGGATGGGAGCAACACCTGTTCCCCTGTCGGCGAGAGCCCGAAATCGAGCTCGAGTTCCACCCGCTCGTTCGGCCCCCCTTCCTTCCACCGCCGGTTTTTACCACCAGTTCCTCGTGATCGCGCCGAGGAACAGGGAGGCCTCGCTCGAGCCGTGCGCGCGATTCGATTCAGAGTCGACGAGCGTAAATCGAAAAAACATCGATCGGACGGTTGCTTTCGAGAAGCGCGGCGACGGACGTTGACCGCCCCTCTCCCCCTCCCTTTCGTGGCCAGCTGTTACGCGTTTCCTATTAAATTCAATTCGAGAAGAAACGCTATCCTCGACTCGCAGAGACCAACCATCGATATAGGAAAGGAAAGCTGGGAAGAAATTCGACGGATCTCGACAGAGTTTGGGGGAGGGGAGGTGGGGTGAAAAAAGAAAACCGAGAGAATTCCTCTCGATCGTGCATCGTATTTAAACGACAAAGGGGGGGGGCGGGCCGACGAATTTCCGTCGGCGAATACTTCCAATGAGCCGATGATCTGCCAAGCAATCCGGACACACTCGTGCGCGTGCGTGTGATACGATTAAAATCGCGTGGAAGAAAAGATGGCGAGAAAGGATCGTTCGAACCGTCCACGTACAACCACACGAGGCGAAGCTGAACCGTTCACCTTCGTTTTTCCCCACGTATATATATATATATATATATACACATATATATACGTATACAATACAAAATGTACGATCATTTATCGGGCCCTTGGTGGCCAGGGAACGAAAGAAAGAAAAAAAAAAAAAAAAAGAAAAGAAAAGGAAAAAAAGAAGGGAAGGAAAGGAAACGAAGGACGAACGGGGTAGGCCTAGCCTCCGAAAGAGGCGACCAAGGAGGCGATGGCGGTCGGAGGGAGTTGGAGCGGTCGGAACTTCCATCGATTCGGCCATCCTCCGTGTTTCGAGCAAAAGTGCAGCGTACCAACTAACTGTGGCAGTTCTTCTCGCAGATCTTCATGCACAAGAGCGCGATGCAGATGCACGCGAGGGAGCTCGGCGCGGCGGGTGCACTGACGGGGAGAGCTGGCGGCGGCGTTGCGGGCGGACTGGCGGGGCTGGGCCCGATCGGCGTTGGACCGGGCGGGATGATCGCCGGGAACGAGGTAAAGCCGCACCAGTGCCAGCAATGCCTCAAGTCGTTCTCCAGCAACCACCAGCTCGTCCAGCACATCAGGGTCCACACCGGCGAGAAACCGTACAAATGCAGCTATTGCGACCGCAGGTTCAAGCAGCTCAGTCACGTACAGCAGCACACCCGCCTGCACACGGGTGAGTATTCACCTTCCACCGCCTTCTTCGAGCGGGGTATACCTCGTTACTTTCCACGGATTTAGTCCACGAATTAGCCACCATCGAATACAGTTCGCTTTCCCTTCTTTTCGCGTCTTTCGTTCTTTATTTTTTATTTTCTTCTTCTTCTTCTTCTTCTTCTTGTTCGTTCGTTGAATTTTCGGAACGATTTGGAATAATTGTGCCGTTTCTCCCGGATGAAACGGAGGAAAATTGATCCGTCCGTGGAAACGGCGGGTAAAATAATCCGTCCGTCGATTTCGAATGACGAGGAGGAGAAAATGGGCGAGTTTAATACATGCATTCGGTATTCCCGGGACTGATAGTAAATTCTATGAATACCGCATTGCATCGCGGCCAGTCGATAATCAATAAATTAATATACTATTATAATCTGTACAAGCGATCGTGCGTTCCGATTGTGGCTAATTTTAATGCATGCTGCGAGATTGCTCAATGCGCCTCGTGCCGCGGCAGAACCGTGGTTTCCAAGACACCGTTGACTGAACACGTTGTCGTCCGGTATGCATACAAGTTGCGTATTGCAGATAAGTTCAATTTACGCGGGGCGAACGATCGAATTTATCGAGCGGGTACCGCTCGACTAAGAATAGCACAGTGACGGAAAGACGTAGAACGGGATACGGGCGAGGGACGCGGCGCGGTGGTAGAATATAATGAGAAAATTCGACGGCAAAGCCAGCCAATCGGTCGCGCCCGGGTAGAAAGAATTTCATTAAGGGATGAGCGTAGTCAATCGGAAGGTATTAGCCTCGAGAACCGAACGGTCAGCGCCGCGTATGACTGGACCCTTGGAGGAAAGTCTCTCTCTCTCTCTTTTTCTCTCCCTCTTTTCCTCGTTCATCTCGTTCGAGCGGTTCCCGCTTCCCAATCGAGGAAAAGAAGAGGGGAAAAAAAGAAGGAAGAGAAAGGAAAAGAAAAAAAGGAAAACCTCGTCGGTATGCCAGCTATTTAATCGAAACGAGAGAGAGAGAGAGAGGATAACAGATCGATTCTTAACAAAACATTCCTTTCGAACGATCGTACCGTATAATTTATTTGGGAAAACCAATTTTATCACGAGGAATCGAAAACTTTCGCGTGAAAAAATATATATATGCATATATATATATATATATGTATATATATTCGATGTTTCTTTAACCGTGTTTAACGAGGGGGATGAGAGAATAAGAGGAGGAGGGGGGAGAGAAAAAAAGGGCCGACATTGATTTCAGCGCACTCGTTTCAACCCCTTCGTCCTTTTCGACGACTACCAACGAGCAAGTAACTACTGCTCAGCAACCCCTTACATTAATAATCACCCTTCCCGCGTACCGAGGTTCCCACTCTACTCTACTCTGCTACGGCTGGTACTTGAGCTAACGTCGGTGTACGCGCATCTATCGCATGCACGCCTTTCGGTTTCCGTGTCTTTATCGATGAAACGTTTTAAATAACCGTGTAAAGGGAGGGAGCGCCTCTCTCTCTCACTCACTCTTCCGTTCGAGAAAACGAAATCGCGAAGGGGAAAAATCGCATCGAGTGCAAGTTCGAGATCGAGAATCGAGATCGAGGTTGATCGAATCGATCGGATCGAATGAAATTTTATCCCCTCCCCCTCCACACGTATCCGACCAAGAAAATTCCTCATTTTCGATCTCTCGTTCTCTCTCTATGCCACCAACCGGCATACCAATTTCTCGCCGATCGAAAAATCGGCGTGCTCGCAGTTGAAATTCCTTCCGAATTCCCCCCGCACCCCCTCCCGGCTACCCGCTTGTTTTCCCAAACGATAGCCGCGCTTCCGCCCGACCATTTGCATACCATATTGATTTCTCGTTTCGGTGCGAGATCTCGCTGCCTTGCCGCGATTGGCCGGTCGAAATCAAAAAAACGGCGGGAATTTACTGCCGCACCGTTCAGCAGCGTTCACGCGCCACCGCCACCGCCACCGCCACCGCCGCCACCACCACCTCCGCCGCCGCCACCCCTCCCCATCGTTATATAGCGCGCGCATTACAACAATTTCCCTCCGAACGGCCGAATATATATTCGCACAGCCTATAAAATTTGCAACGTATACGCATATAATTCATTAACCGAAATTCGACAGAATTTCGCGCCGTTGCTCGTTGCTGCTGTTTCGGGCGGGCGAAACGACAAACAGAGGGGTAGAGGGCTTTGGGGTAGGGGGGCTGGAGCGAAACTGAGAGAAAGAGAGAGAGAAAGAGAGGGAGAGAGAGAGAGAGAGAATGGTAGAAACGAAGGACGGCGAATATAATATCGGTGAGTGTCCACGATATCGATAGCTGGTCAATAGCTGCAGCCTAGACAAATACCTGCCGAGGGTGTACAGTCCATCCTCCTCCCCTCCCTTGGCGGGCTTACGCGGGGTGACCGAGCGCGTGGCCAATAGGAGGTCAGCCCGCCCCACTCGGCTTCCCGCGCGCGAAAAAGCGCGGGAATTTTTCGATCGCCCGATCGCTCAATAATGGAACCGAAGTTACGCGCCGCCACCGTCGCACGCGCACACCACCACCACCATCACCGCCGCCACCACCACGCCGCCGCCACCACCACCGTCATCACCATTACCCAAATACTGTCCTCGTGTGTACCCGTATATGTGTGTATGTATGTATGTATGTATGTATGTATATACGCACGCACGCACACGCAACACACATTGGGCCGGGTAGCAGCCTAATAAATAGCCGTACGCATTCGGGAGCGTGTTGGCGCGGATGGACGGCAGAGTTCGTACCGGTCAGAACCGGCTAGCAAAGATTATCCCTTCGACAACGAGGAAAACTCAATTTTCATGGGGCGAAATCTAATGATCGTAGGTCGAACCCTACGTACGCGCACGGAATTAATCGGTTTTCCTCGACCGGCCACCAGCGTTTACGGCCTTCCTTTACGAGGAATCGGTTCGCGATTCTTCTTCTTCTTCTTTCCCTCTTTCCCCTTTCCCCTTTCCTCCCTCTACCACGTGGAGGATCGGTCGTCGATCGAGAGGCGAGAGATCGAGGAGGGAGGGAGAATTATTATTCGGCCGCGTTAAAATTCGGCAATAACGGTGCCCTCGTTGGTGGAAGGAGAGTTACGTTGGAGGACGGGTTCATTAATACCGATACAAACGACGGATGGAGATGAAGCCCAACCCCTTTCGTTGGCCGGGTTTGAAAAAAGGAGCACGTCCTCCCGACCAAATTGACCGGACAATTTTAAAGCCCACTTAAGACTGCGAAAAATTGCCGCATCGTTGGCGCATGAATAAAAATTAAGTTCTCGGCGAGAGGGGGGAAGGGGGAGGGGGAGGGCTCGGCCAACGACAACGATTTCGAAACGAAGCCGCCTCGACGAGACGAGTTTTCGACGAGCAGAAATTTTCCTTTTCTTCCTCTTCGCATTTTTCGCTTGTGTCGCTTCGAGCTCCCTTTGCCGAAACCGCCGCGAACGAAGGAGAAGAACGAGAAATTTCAACCCTCACCCCCTCTTCCTCTCCCCGCGCTTCTCGCTTTGCTCCTCGCCTTTTTGCTCCTCCACTTTTAATTCGCTAATTTCGCCGAGTTAAGAATTTATGCGACGGAATGTCCCGTCAAACGCCTCGACAGAGAAAAATCAAAGAGAGAAGAAAGAACAGCGGCGAACCTTTTATCGCAAACGCGAGCCGGGAAATTAAAGATTGAAGAAAAGCGGCAACGTTTTACGTTTTACGGGTTGATAAAACAGGGGAAGGGGAAAGGGAAGGGAAGAAGGGGAGGAGGAGGAGGAGGAGGAGGAGGAGGAGGTGAGGGTAGGAGGAGGGCGCGGGTAGGAAAGGTGGAAACGTCTCGTTTAATACCCAAACAATCTCTTCCCTTCTCCGCGAAAAATAATCTTTGTTTCTCGATAAACGTTTTCCAATTACCTGCTCGTTGCCCGGATTATTTAGCCCGAATTGGACGAAAAGTTCTCCCCCCCCCCCTGCCCCTCCCGATTGATCGCGGCCGAGAACGCGATATCTTTCTCTCCGTAGTTTACTTAATTAATTCCCGTAATACGAGTTAATCAACTCGACCATGACCGTGTATTGTAAATATTTTAACGAGCGATACGAGTCCTAATATTACTATACACACACACACACACACACATATATATACATATATATTGCATACACGCGAAAATTATACTCCTCGACGCGAAAGAAAATTTAAACCCTCGGACGATCAAAATTCGAAATGGACGCGATCGCAATATCGGGGCCAAGATATATTTTATTACGACTTATTATGCGACGAAACCTGGTGGAAAGCTGGGCTGGGCCTAGGTTCTAGGTGGATGCATCTTGGATGGATCCGGGGACGAAAACCAATTAGGCAAATTGACCGGTGAGAAACGAGGGCGAGAACTTTTCCTCCGAGAAACGAGCGTTAACTCCGTGTTCACACACGGTGAGAACGTATCGCATCGTACACGATGTCAGCGGGAATCGAGGATACAGAATGGAAGAAGGAGTAGTAACGGTCAGAAAACTTTCTGTTCCCCGATAGATAGCGGAGAGAAAGGCAATTAAACCGTTAAAAGGTAAAAGGTAAAGATAATTAAAAGTTGAAGATACCGTATGGCACGAGGGAAAATTAACGTAGTCACGCCGCATATGCATATAGTAGGCCGATAGGCCTATTCTAATTTTCCCTGGCCAACCCTTCCATGCCACGGCCGTGCATTTTTTCCATCAGGCTTAATTTGAATAGAGAGAGGGACGCCCGCTTTGCACTTTCCGGGGGATGCTTCGACCCCGATGCTCTCCTTTCCCTCTCTCTCTCTCTCTCTCTCTCTCTCTCTCTCTCTTTCTCTCTCCCCCTTACGGGGACGCGAACACGCAAAAAATGCCACGTCATTTTTTTAAGGTCACCTTTCAACGATCGCACGTGCTATTGTCACTGTGTACCGTTTCTGATCCGAGATAAGTAATCTTGCTTTATGCG